CATCACTGGAGACTGAGATCAGGCCCAGTGGAACCGTATATGCATGCTTATTTTCTATTGCCCAACAGCTAGCACTCAGCACTTCTAAGGCAGTTGATTTCTCCTTGTGTTTCAGAGGCCTTCAGATATGGCTGGCATGGGTAAGGTGTAAGAGGTCATGCTTTTCACAACTGTGAGCACCTGCCAGTCTAGCTGAAAGTGTCAAAATATGCAGATGCTCCTGTAGCCTTAATATGGAGTTGCAGATGCCTGTGGGCCAGATGAGGCAGTGTTTAGGGAGTTAAGGAGTATTCTCATCTCCGAGAGCCCTTGCTGAGGGCTGGTGTGCCGGGGACAGGGCTCTGCTTGCAGAGGGCCGCATGCTCCCAGCCCCTCTGCTGGCAGTGCTGCGGCCATTGGCAGCAAGCAGCACGGGGCTCCTTTGCTGCTCGAGGCTTCCTGGGACCCACCAGATGGTGCTGTAACACTGCCTCAAGGAACGGCCCCTTATGGAGGAAACACAAAACCCATCTTAAAATAGCCGTGTTGACCCAAACCATCACTTTTGTGGAAAAAAAAAATATATACATATATTTGTATACCAAAAATACATAGCAGCACCCCTGCCTAGAGAACTGGAAACTCTGCTTTCCTCCCTCCGTGTGGTTTCCGCACGCTCACCTGCTGAGGGCGGAAGGAAGAGGAGGGGAGCAGGGCCTCAGCACTCAGCTGAGGTGCGTGCTGCTCACACAGGATCTGTGGCAGCCCGTGTGCCACTTCCATCCCTCTGCCATGAGGGCCCACAGAGTGACCCAAGGGCTGTGGGCCTGTTTGTCACCCAGCTCCTCAGCAGCTCCTGAAGGATGCAGGCACAGCTTCACAGCAGGCACCAGTAACCACCAGCAGTTGTGAGGAGCGAGGGGGATGTTTTCACAACTGTGAAAACCACAAACCAACCACCCAGGAAACCTTCACAGACTGTTCTTGAGGGTGTTTGCTGAGGCTTAGAAGTAGCAAAGAGTTTGCAAATGCTCCTCTTCTGAACCAGAGAATTGCTGAGGAGCCAGCTGCCCAACACCTTCCTCACCCCCACACACAGACATGTACCTGCAGGAGCTGCCCAGGGCTGGAGCTGGCAGCCTCCTGCCATGGCCCTGCTTCCAGTTGGCAGCAGTGTCATTCAGTGGTACCACTCTTCTCAAGCAGATTGGTGACAAAGAAGCTTCTGGAAGTCACTTCTGGCTTGGTCTGGTGAAAGTCTCTGGATGTGCCTTCTGAGCTGATGGCTTTCTGCTTTGTTTTACATCTCCTGCCCAAAGTGTAGCCCTCTCACAGCAGGGCAGCTATTCCCTGGAGGCTGCCTTGCAGACTGCCCAGGGGCTCTGTCCCCAGGTGTGCCTTTCCTGTTCCACCCTTTCTAAACAACCTCCCCGAGGCAGCCTTTCTGCATATCAGAAACAGAACTGTGCTCACACCAGCCTCTGCCTGCCTCAGGGTTCCAGGGAGGCTGCACCCTCAGGCCCAGCAGAGGCCCAGGCTGTTCTCCTTCTTCATCAGCCCTTTTACAGCGAGGGACCTCTGCTGGCTCTCTCTGTTCACTCCCGGACAGAACAGGGGTCTGCAAAATGGCTCCCCCTCAAGACTAAATTCCTCTGCCTAAGAGCATGAGGCCACAACAGCCAGACAAGAGGCACCTGGAGGAGAAGGCTGGCCCCCAGACCACCAGGGCTCAGCTCCTGCCATCTGACAGCACGGTGGTGAGCTATTCCATCCTCTTACAGTCCTGAGAATGTGGGCTTGCCTCGTCCTATTTGTCCTTATCAGGACATCAGGGTACCTGCTGGGCTGAAAAGCAGGGAAGACAAAGGTAAATGAGGTGCCAACTGGTCCAGCTTCTCAGGGATTTTATTTACTCAGGATCTAGAAAACCTTGGGCAAATGCACAGGCCATTCTCAACAGTCTGTTTCATTGAGGATAAGAGACGTCATATTGCCTTTTCCTCAGCTTAACAGCCCACCCACATTGAGCTCTGTCCTGTGCCTCTTCTCCCAGACAGGCTGATAAAACTGGAGCTCTGCTGCTCTGAGGGCACACTGCTGCATTGCTGCCATCTTCCAAGGGCCATCATGTAGCAGCCGTGCAGTGTCACTGCCTGCTGACAGGCACTGGCCCCTTCGCATCCTCTCCTTTGCATTGCTTGCTTGTTTTCCTTCTTATTCCGAGAAGCAGCTTTATGCCATTTTCAGCCCCTGATTCTCCAGGAACAAATGCCAAACTGAAAGCGAATACTTGGGAATGTTGTCCTGGAGGTATTGACAGAAACACTTTCCATCATTTCATTTACTGAGAAAAACACCCTTGAAAACACACCACTGCGGAAAGCTTTTCTTGTCTTTGGCACCTCTGGGACTTCCAGCTTCTTCTTGGGGCGAGACCTTCACCGGGACCCGCCCCACTTCTCACTTGTGACCAAAGCACACAAATAGAGTGTAGAAAGCAGAGGAAGCGGCCGCTGCTGTCCGGCGTGAGGGAGCTGCCCATACTTCAAAGCCCTGCACAGGCAGGAAGAGCTGCGGGGCAACGCCGAGTGTGGGGCGAGGAAATGGCGGGGCTGATGGGACGTGAAAGCTGCGAGCGTGTCAAAGGCAGGACGGAAGTGTTGTAGGGGGCAGCCCTATTTTTAGCCACCTCTTGCAGAACTTTGCTAGCACTTGCTGTAGAAGAGCTTCTTCCCTTTTCCTTGATGTAAGCGGAGCCCGTGGCGTTTGGGTCTGTTTTTATTTGGCCACTCACGCAATTGCACTGACTGAAAGGTCCCTTGAACACTGCTGACTCAAAAACACCCGTGGTCACAGAATCCTTGACAAGGAGAACAGAAAGCATCTGGCACTTCCCTGTCCCCATTTCAGGACTGTGAGAGGTAGAACCCAAAGCTGAGGTTGCAGAGCGTGACTCTTAGTCATATCAACAGGGGATTTTGCAATTGGTGGGTGCGGGGTGCGAGGCAGGCAGTCTGCAAGCAAATCTGAAGTGCTTTGCAAAGCATTGGAGTGGGGTTCCTCTGCTGCCAGGCCTGCACAGCAGAGTGCAGCCCTTACTCCCTGCTGCCCTGCATGGGCTGCTCCACTTGGGTGCAAGTTTAACACAAGTGAGCAGGCAGCACATGGTGAGCAGTGTGTGGCCATGGCTGCCCTGCATCTGCCTCCTGTTAACGTTAGCAGCAACTAACTTCTCTGCAAGGCAGAGTCCAGAATGGATCCCATTGAGTTTGGCCCAGCTTGGCTGGTGCCATTTAGCTCAGGGACAGGATGGAAGAATGGGGTTGAGACTCATAGAGCCAGCATCTCATTCCTACAGTGGATAACGGATTACCTATCTGTAGAGCTCATTCTTAAGCTGGATTGATTAAGGCAGAATTTGCAATTGTTGAATGAGAGATGACAGAATCATAGGATGGCTTAGGTTGGAGGGGATGTTAAAGATCATCCAGTTCCAGCCCCCTGCCGTGGGCAGGGATATGGATGGAGAAGTGCTTTGTACTGTGACAATTTTATTTAGAAGCCAGAACTCCTTCATAAGGAGGTAGTGGGAGGAGGAGGTTATTAACAATGCCACTCCTGTCCGAAGGAATGTGCTGGAAAGTTGCTTCGGCCTCTAGATGGCACCCCTATTATTCACACGTCAGAAAACTGAAAAAGCAGAAACGCCTTCCTTCTCAAAGCTGGACTTACGGGCAGGCCTAAAACTTCAGGAGCTCGGAGCAAAACCTGCGGGCAGTCGAGATTACAGTGGGACCCATCTGGGTTTGTTTTTTCCCGTCGCCTTGCCCAAAAGGCGGAGTAAGGACTTGCTCCCCTCTGGGCTCTGTACTGGGTAATGGGCCGGGAGCTGCCACTGGGAACTCGTGCCGGCGTTCCTGAAGTCGTCTGGAAAGCGAGGCGGAGCTGCGGTGCTCTGCCCAGGGATGCGCCTCGCCCCGGGTGCCGGCGGCTCTGCTGGGAGCAGGAGGTCCGGGCTGTGCTGCTGTGTGTGACCAGAGCAGTGCTCTGCCAGAGCTATTTGCTGTATTGTTTCAATTAAAAAAAAACGCAGCCAGGCATTTAATGGCTCCCATCTGCAGCCACTCTGGGTAATTCACTTCCCACTTCAAGGTTTGAAGTCTTCTTTTCTCTTTTAATCGTAGGGACAAAAAGGGAGAGTTAATGTCCCTCATGTTGATAGATCTATCTTCATGCTCTCTACTTTAAATGAGGTTAACCAGGCTTTTGAGGGAGAAGAGTCATAAATATTTCCTTGTGTGAGCAGAGATGCTGGCCAGGGAATCATGGGAATCCATCTCAGCCAGCTATTAACAGGCTGTTAACAGACTGTCTTTCTAATTGACTTAAATGTAACTTAGTTGATCCCATTTCAATATTTCCTGAGAACTCATAGTCTTTACTTTTTCCACCTGGTAATATCCTGGGAGCTAACTGCCATATTCAAAGAGGGAGCTGAGGGAACCAGATTCCAAAGGTGCTGGTGCCCCAGGGGCAAGGCTTGGAGCTTACACGTCTGACCTGCACTGAAATCCAAAGCAGTCAGGACCGCTGCCTTTTTGAAATCCCACTGGGCCCCCTCTGGCATCTTTAATACCTCAATACTTACAGTACCTCTCCTAGTGGAATGTGTGTGCGCACAGAAGGCAGACGACATCCATAGGGTACAGAAGTGTGGCATTCTTCTTAACTGATAGTTCAGGGATGGTTCACAATACAAGAAGGATGTCCTCTTGGGGCACCTAGTGAATAGCTGTCCTGCAAGCTGGACCTTCACCCAGTGTTCATGCACTGAGCTGCAGCAGCTCGCAGCGGGTTGGCTCACCCGGTCAGAAGCAAACTGCTCAGACTGTGGGCAGCTGTCAGGTCAAGGAGCTGTCAGAGGAGCAGTACAGCCTTCCTGCTACTGAGAAAGAGCAGAAAGGAGAATAAATGTTTAAGAAAAGGGGGAGACAGGTCTTAAAATAGTTGTTAGGTTGGATTTTGCGTGTGTGTGATTTTTTGGGGGAAGGAGGGGAGGCTGGGTTGATTTTTTTATGGTTTAATAAAGTAGAAGAAAATTTATAAGAAATTTATGTTCTGATTTGAATCCTACTGATGCTCATGGGAATCCCTTTAGTGAATATTGGACCCAGTCCAAGAAAAGCAGGCTATTATTCCCCTCACTTCTATTTATCCATAGCTGTGTCCTTCTGCTTGCAATCTTGTTAGAGTTTGCCAGTAGATTTAGTCTGAGCCTCATCAGCGGGGAACCTGGATAAGAAACTATGGTCAGCTGCCTCTCAGCTCTGAGCCAGTCTTCCTGAAAGAGTGACAGCAACTTTGGATGTCATGACTGCGTGACACGCAGCTGCAACCTTGACCTGGTAGGATCTCCTACAGTCAGACCCAGCACAGGGGTATGTGACTTTTCTTTCTCTGTCATGCTCTAGCCTGCTCTGCCAGCTGGATGATTTAAGCACACCAAAACCAGAACAGCTCAATAAAATGGTTTCTGCGTGAACAGTTCAATGAAAATATCTGTGATTGGTTGTGGTAGAAAATGCAAATTAAAAACCCTTTCGGATATACAAAAGAAAGACCAGAAAATCACCCTGTGTTGCCAGGACCAGAACAAAGGCAGGCACTTGGAAGCTGTTCCCTGGAGGTGTTTGAAGAATGTGTAGTTGTGGTACTAAGGAAGATGGTTTAGTGGGCAACATTGGTAATAGGTGGACAGTTGGACTGGATGATCTTAGTGTTCTTTTCCAGCCTTTATGATTCTATGATTCTAAGCAACCTGGGCAGCTGGCTATGAGGAAGCAGGTTCCAGCCCTGTCTCTGCCAAAGAGTTTCTGGCTGCTCTCTTTAGTGTGTAGTTGCTAAACCTGTGCACCTGCCATGGAGGAGGTCAATGAGAAATCCTGGCTCTTGTTTCAGTGCCCTAGGGACATGGGAATGCTTTTGGGGAGTTTTGTACTTGCATCACTTGCATCTGCGCTGTCCTTGGTAAATGTGTTTGAGTTCCAAGAGGTTAGAGTCAGGAGTACTTGTGCTGCTTGGAAGGACATTTCCTACATGGACCAGGCTCTTCTCTGCTGTTCAGAGAGCACGACAGTGTATGGGACAGGTGGTATGAACAGTCAGTGAGCTTGGGCTTGAAGCCTGAGCTTTGAGTTATCCACTCACAAGTCTATCAGCGCTTGGGAATTCTGACTGAAGTTACGTCAAAGGTAAGTCCACACATATTAAAAGGTTAGAAATATGATTTTGGGATAACTCACTGGCCTCTGCCTCTTCTCCCATCCTACCTCTCTGCTCTGTTACTATGATGAGGATTTCATGGGACACCTGAGGAGCAGCGTGGACTAAACTTGTTCTTGGGGACATGGGCTTGTGATTTGAGCAGCAGAGTGGCTATGGTGCTCCTGGTGAGGAGGGATTAGCCCTCACACAGCCCGTCAGCTGTCTGTCCTTCCTTGCTGTTGGTCTGCTGTAGGAGGTGCAGTGTGGGAGCACATTGGGTGTGAACACAGAGGTTTCTGCTGAGGCAGAATCAAGTGGTGTGACCCCGAAAAAGGGAACAGGAGCTGCAACTTCCACCCTTGTGGGCTAAGAGGAACGACCACCCCTGAGGTCCCAGGAAGCTGCAGGCTGCTCCAGACCCACCCTTATGCGGAAAGGAACACACCCTTGCCTCTGTCTGCATGTGGCTACAGGTTCTTCGCTGCAGCCCAGCCCTCCTGCTGATGTGTGGCCTTTGGGTGGTGCGACACAGTGCTGCTGGGGAGAGGGCTGGCTGTGGTGGGCTTCCTTCTTACCTTACTGCCATGTGCTGCTCCTACAAGACAGCCTCCTGCCAGCTGGAAACCCAGCGCTGCCTCGTGTCCCCAGAATAAAGATTTTGTCCTACAGTTCCATGACTGTAATTGTTAAGCAGCTCTGTTGTAAGCTTCCCACTATCTGCCTCAAGCAGCTCATCTCTGCGGTTCCTCCCATGCTAATCTCTGTGATCTGTGGCATGCATACAGCACTGGCTGGAAAAGTCCCTCCCCTCTGCTGCACCGTATTTGCCAGAACAGGCATAACTCCAGATAACCGGATTTGAAACAATCAGAGCAGGAAGCGGCAATAACTGGCCTGGAGGGAAGGCGGGGAGTTGCCCATAGACAGTTTTTTAGAAGGGTGCCCAATCTGCGATATCTGATCTCTTTCCATGCTCCTTTAGCCCAGGTACAAAGGCAGGATGTAAAGCTTGCAGGAGTCATTTTCATCCTCTCTCCTTGGCTTCTGATTGAGTTCAGATCTGCACCATCTCTTTCTTACTTCAGCGCTGTGTGTGTGGTGACACGCATACTGACCTATGTGTGCACATGAGGAAGACCTCCAGAGCTGCGTCTGCTTCAGACGTGGCACTGATGTCACCCCACGGATGTTGCCTTGCTGTGAACAACGCAGTGGATCAAAGTTGGTGTTATTTCTTCTGTGGAGCACAGGGACCTCAAGGATGGCTCTGGTGCAGCTGGCGCTCCCACGGTGGGCAAACACAGCCCGTGCCAGCCCTCTGCCCAACGTGCCTTCATACCGCGGGGGTCAGATTGGGCCGAGGCAGGTCCTAGGTGAGTGCTCCCACTGCTGAGCCTGCAGCTTGGTCACCAGCACCCTCCAGCCAGCCACATAAACATCACCCACCGGGCTCTGCTGCCCATCCCCTGCTCCCCCAGCCAAGGGTCACGAGCTGCGGCCAGCAGTCGGCTGCCTAACGCGGCCGTGGCTCTGTGCAGCCAGCCTGCGAGAGGTCGTCACACGCCTCCTTAAGCAAACAGGGATCCACGCCAGTTGATAAATCATTTACGAGGAGAAGTCAGAAGCAAGGAACTAGATTAACCAGGTCACTGGGTGTCCTGAGGGAATGACGTGTCAGTGGAGCTGAAACAGCAGATCCCGCAGTTGCAATCTGTTGCCTTCTTCTGTCCTGACAGCAATTCATGGAAATCCCTGGAACTAGACACTAGTGATGGAAAAATCCATTAGCTCATCCAAGTCAGCTTGCTAGTTAAAGCAGTCACTCCCATTGTGCATTTTTTGGCAGAGTTAAAATGTCTCAAGAGAGGGGATTTCCACCAGTTCCTTCTCAAGGGGAAACTATTCCACCTATCGGGAAAGCTGCCTCCAGTGGTGCTATTTTTGTAAAAGAGAAGTAACTCCAAGCCCGAAAGGGAAAACAGAAAGGTTCTGATGCAGAAACACAGGCAGCAGTAGTTAGTTTTCCCTGGCAGACATGTGCCATGCACAGCACATCTGCAATGGGAACACCAGGGGCCCACGTGTGTTTATATACATCCACCTAGGTGTGTTTGTGTGTATGCACAGCCTGCCTCTCCTTCCTCAGGCAGATTATGACCTTGTGCCTCCCTGGATAATCGACGTGTCGTATCGTGATCTCACAACCAGTTTACACTTATGTAATGCCACTGGCATCAAGGTGAAAAAAACTGCTAAATTGCTTTGAGGAGGGGACAGACGCGTGAAAAAAGAAAGGCACCAGCTGATGCTGCTCCTCTGGCACACGCTTCCTGTCTGCATGGGGACATGGCATGTCCCTTAGGGGCCTCAGTTCCCCAGCTGTGTGCCAGGCACAGCGACCACCCTCCTGGGGTCTTGTGGCTGAACGCAACCACTGGCAGCACCCTGCCTGCAGCAGTTGGGAAGGTGCTGCAGTGCAGAGATATGTTGATGAGGCTTGTCGGCAGAGGCTATGGAGATTTTGGCAAACAGGATTTCAGCACCTGGGAAGCACTGTGGGACAGTGGAGAAATAAATGAGCTGTGTGATTGTGATGGCATTTAAGTCCTTATCATTAGTTTCAGAGCAAGTTCTGCATTCAGATCAATGGGTGTAGCACTCATTGCTGAGCTAGAACCTGTAGAGATAGGGAGGATTGCTCTGTGCTCCCATTCAGAAAGCTCTCAGCCACCAGAGCTGTAACTTGCAGTCCTGGTGCCTCAGCTCAGGAGCAGGGCTCCGCAGCTAGGGTAGATACAATGGCTATATTAGCAGCAAACAAACCCCACATTATCAAGGGCCCTGATTACCAGTGTGATGGGGTGTTGGCTATATGCCTCTTATGAGAAGAAGGCGGGGTACTGCCTGGGTGTTTGCCCTGGATTCTCAATTAGTTGTTTTATGTACCTCTCAAAACCTCACTGCTGGCACTGCTGCCTTCCCCTTCTAGGACACCTGACATTCAGGCACCATGTTTTGCACAGATTTGACAGCCACATACCCATCAGTTACATTGAGGCTGCTCTTGTGAGCACCCTCTGCATGTTATTGCAGGGTGGCTCGTGAATTCTATGCCGTGCAACCCTGGCTTTGGGATGGGTGTGCTGCTTTGCAGGGCTCTACTTTGTTTAGCACAAGCCACATTGAAGCACAAATGACATCTGTGAGGACTGACATGGTGTGGAAAGGGACCTAATCAAAAAAGCATGGGTCAAATCCTGGGCCTTGGCTGGGTCCCTTTAATTGCTGTAAAGTCCCAGTGCCAGTTGACCTACTGAGCCCCTTGCCCCTTGCACCGTGCAGGGATAAGAGCAGGTAAAGCCCAGTAACAGTTTAACTATGAGATTAACTCTGCCAGTGCCACTACAGAGGGTCCTCTGTTTCTCCAGACAAAAGGTGCTGACTCCAGGCTCCCCAGCACGTTGGCCCATGTTCTCCATCTCCTTCACCCACACCCTGCAGTTCCAGCCTGACCCTCGGCGAAGGCAGGGAACCTCGGCTCTGTAGCCTTAGGTGCTACTGCCTGAAAGACGGCCAGAGAAAGAGCCATCTTCCTCTCCATTCCACTACATCTACAAGGTCCCAGTGCTCTGCAGAACCACACACCAAGGTAGGATGAGATGCAGGGAGGCCTGTGAACAGTCCAGGTGCTCGGTTGTCTATCCTTCATGCTCCTAAGCACCACTGAAACCCTGGTTTCTCATGCTTTGAATTTCATGGGCGTTTGGCTGTGCAGGACCAGGCTCCTGAACTGTCCCAAAGATGACAAAGAGGTTCCTTCTTTGGGCTTCACTGTGGCAGTGAATGGTTTTGCAGCCGGCTAGGCAAGAGGCAGCTAGGTGTGAGCTTAATGAGGATGACCTGCCTCAAAGGTTTCATTTAGAAGAAGAAAGTACCAAGTGTTTTACTTAAAAATGAACAGATGTGTAGAGCGAATTCTACCCTCCACTCGGATATGGTGAATCTGATCACAGCGCATCCTGCCCAGACCTGAGAACAGACAGACAGACAGACCTGTGTCACAAAGTGGAACAGACTGATGTGAACTCACCCGCACCAAGCTGGGGACGAGTGAAACCACGCTCGTGCAGACAGCATGGAAAGCAAGCAGAGGTGATAAGGAGCGGGGGTGTTAGTTGTTGTTCTTGATTCTGCGTGGGAGAGAGGAGCAATATTGATGAAGACTGTAAACAGCAATAGGTGCCACCAAGTAATGGCAACATACAGCCCTGAATGTACAGCTGCCATTAGGCACCGAGTGCCTCTCTGCTGAACGCTCACACCAAGGGCAGCTTGGCTTCCAACAAGCGCCCAGCACTGCCAAGAGGCAGCACCCCCTGAGAACCGGGCTGCAGTCCTGATGACCGTGTGCTGTGAGAGCCGTTTGCACCGGTGAGACAAATACTTTCCTTTCACTGCTTCACAGAACTACGTTTCTCTTAGTTACTTGCACCGAGTGTGTGGGGCTGCACTAATGCAGGCCTGGCTGAGAAGGGGAAACAGGAATAGGGATGGAGACAGAGACAGGGCCAGGGCCAGCCCTGCCCAGCACGCAGATCGAGGCAGGTCCTCACAGTGCAGTGGAGTTGACCGACACCCCGGTGCAGTGTGTGTGTACCGTGTGATGTGGTTGAGCAGCACACAGTCATGTTCAGCTGCCTGCCCTGTTATTGTGAGCAGCCTTGTGCTAGTTTCAGGCGTAATAACATCGTGACATAACAGCACACCATGCTGTGATGACACCAGCACACGGAGTAAGCCACGGTGATCTGATCTCATTCTGTACATGCTGAGATGCACACTGATGGCTCCCAGGACATGTGGGCGGCAGGTGGATGGGGCTGGCACGTCCCAGCACCAGGTGGGAACATGACTCCTGGCAATGTCAGGGCTAGGAGCTCGGCTCTGCAGCTCCAGCTCTGCCTCAACTGCGGCCGATGAGTCACTGCATCTCTCTGTGCTCACTTCTTCCATCTGTGGAAAGGTGACAATAACATTTCCTCACCTTACAGGGGGTGGGAGGTGTGTGCAAGGATGAATGAATGTTTACAAAGCACCTCTGAGCAGCACAGGCTGGTTGGACTGTGACTGGGAGGAACCAGCGCTCGCTCTCCACATTGCTCCTTCCTCCAGGCGAGGTGTCCTCAAGTAAACACTTCCCTCAGAGTCAACAGTCTTCAATGAGCACAAATGAGATAATTCCTCAGGAGAGAAACAGAGTGAAGAGTCAGCGCGCTGCCAGTAATTTCAATAAATTCCGTCACAGGAACAGCGGAGTAACCTTTACAAGAGAAAAAAAGAATAAAGTAGAAAAACAAATGAGCTGCAACCAAATTTTTTTTTGTTAAGTGGTACCGTGGTCTTAGGTTTCACTTCCCAAATGGGAAACAGAACAGAGAAGTGAATCGCCTTGAAATAAAAGTGAAGTTAATAACGGGACGCCTGTAGCTGCTCACCACATCCTGTGTATGCTGATCGCTCTGTTTATAGCTGGCACGAGCCCTTCTAGACTCTTCTCTACCAAGTGAGCCGGTTGCTGAGCCCAGCTGCGTTTCATCAGTGTGCAGAGGAGCTCTGCCTGCCACAGCCATGCTGCCGTCAGCACGCCCAGCTCAGCCCTGCGTGGGCTGCATGCTCCATGACACCCTGCGACCGCTGCTCACGTGCTCGGCGTTGTGCACACGCATACACGTGTGTGCACACTCTTCCTAGTCTAGCAAGCACACACACAGGGGCGCTTTGCTTTTTCTGGTAGTTAAGAGAGATGGAAAAACGAGCCCTGCCCACGTACACTTCAGGGACTGCACGCAGCACAGCTCTGAGGCTGACATCCCACCACACCGCTCTGTTGCTGCAGCAGCCCTCCTTCCTCTCACAGAATACCTCCAGGGACGGGGCATCCGCAGCCTCTCTGGGCAGCTTGTCCCAGCTCCTCACCACTCTCATAATAAAGAATTTCCCGCTGACATCCAACCTAAATCTTCCCTCCCTCAACTTAAAACCATTTCCCCTTGTCCTGCAGTTATCAACCCTTTGAAAGAGTTGATTCCCCTCTTCTTTGTAGGCTTCCTTTAGGTATTGAAAGGCTGCAGTGAGGTCACCCCACAGCCTTCTTTTCTCCAGGCTGAACAAGCCCAGCTCCCTCAGACTTCATAGGGGAGGCTCCAGTACCCTGATCATCTTCGTGGCTCTCCTCTGGACCCTCTCCAACAGCTCCCTGTCTTGTACTGGGGGCTCCAGACCTGGACACAGTACTCCAGAACTTCCTGGAGTAACCCAGTACTTCCTTCCACTGTACCCCAGTACTTCCTGGGAGAAGCTTTGTGCTGCTTCAGGAAGCAAGGCTCAGACTGACATGTTCCTTCACTTTCCTGGTACATTAATAGACTTGCTCTTTTGAGCAGTTTCACTGAGGATGGTTTTGCCATCCACCAGCCCCACACCTGCTCCTCAAAGGGTTTTCACCATTTCAGCAGCACTTAAAAATTCTCTTCTGCGTTTTGCAGCAGCTGCATTTACAACAGACACAGTCACATCTACCACAGCGTGAATTTGTGGGTTTTCGATCCATCAGTGACATTAGAAGTGACAGACTGAGCCACGTGGACTTGGGAAGAGCCCGCATCCCATCCCTGCACTAAGGTTAGCCAGCTTCAGCCGCAACGAGTGCATACAGCTTCTCAGCTCCCAGAGCTGAGATGCATACACTGAGGGGCAGCACAAGTGGGAGTCAGAAGCCACTGGTTATTTTTCTTATTCTTATTATTATTATGTCTAAAAATGGAGCAACATTAATCATCTCTGTAGGCCCAGAGATAGCGAGTCTGTACATAGAGAAGCTACAGCCAAAAGCAAAGAAGTACAGGTTGTGCACGTGCTGTTGGTGCTGAGTGGAACAGTCAAGGCAGACACAAAGATCCTCACCTGCTAAGAAATGCCAGTGCTACTTCTGCTTCACAGGGGAAGCCAGGTAGCCATCTGGGGGCCACAGCTCCTGCTGCTGGCAGGGCTGTCCAGCTAGACTGCCATGTGCAGCAGAGCTCGGAGAGAAAACTTGACCAGCTTTGCTCTCCAAGCCCCAGAAGGTGGTCCTGGGCTTTTGAGAAAGCGAGACTAAGCAGATCCATGGGCTGGGATTTTGACATTCCCAAGTAGCACTAGGCAGCCAACATGCTCGACTTTCCAGGACAGCTAATCCCAAACATTTGAGAACTGGGTTCCAAAATACTGTCAGTCGCCTAAACAATATAATTTAAAAATTTAGAAAATCAGTAGCATTGGATTCTGTGCTTGTTTATCTTCTGACTCTTCAGTCTTTGGGCTCAACACTCTAGAATTTTCAGGTTTGTCTCTGCAATAACCAGCAAGAAAAGCATACTTTTCTTAGCTGAACACTGAGATTCTCCTGTAATCACATGATTTACAGAGCGGAATCATAAAGAAGAAAAAAGTAGCAACAAGCATGAGCAGTGGCCTTTCTTTGGCCCCACCAGTGGCTAGTGATCGATGTTTTGTGTTTGTGCACCACACCTTATCCCATGACAGAAGGCAAAGATTTCAGAGAGGACGCATCCTGCTGTCGATCCCCAAGGCCACCAGGGCTTAGCAATGTCCAGGAAACTCTGCCATGCAGCTGGGTATCATTGGGTCCCATCTCCAGCCAGCTCTCAAAAGCAGCTCACACACCGGGCCCAATTTCTCTGTTCTCATGAAGAGCACGATCTGCTTTTCTTTGCTGGCAGTTAGCCCGGGCCTTGATTCCTTCACCTCAGCTCTCCCGCTCCATGCACAAGTTTCCACCCCAGTGCAGCGCTGGCAGCTCCAAACATGTGACAGGCACCATCAGCAAGCTGTCCCCTCCCTGCTCCCTCCACAGGGCTGTGGGACATCTCCCCCTCTCCCACTTGTCTGCAAAGCTTGGAAAAGCTTGTACACTCTGAAGGCACTTCAGGTGCCTTTCTGCAGGAAGGGCTCAGATGCCTCTTCTCTGTGTCACCTCTCAGCGTTTCGTCCTCAGACTTCATTCTCTGAAGCTGTGTGGTTCTCTACTGACTGCATAAAAGGGAACAAAGGCTTGGTAGCATGTAGGTCATTCTAGTAAATTATTTACAAATGCACTCCCTTTCCGTTTCTTGTTGCATGGGGCTCGTGCAACCACACCCCGCCAGGATCTGCGCCTGTCCCAGCAGAGCCATTCATTCCTGCGCCGCGATGGCTGGGCACCCACACTGGGTAAGCTTCAGGGATGCAGCCTGGGCCTCGCCTGTTGGTGCTGGGGGCTGGAGACACAGGCCAGCCCTACCAAAACCGGCTCGCAGCCAGGGCAGGCACGCCACTCCGGTGGGCTGGCAGCTGGGCCAGGCTTGGTCCAGGCGTGAGCTCATCGGCAGATCCCATCCCATTTCCGTTCGCCCACTCTGCCTTTGGTGGGCTTTCAAACGGACCCAGCAGGGCTGTTCTCAGGAAGCTGCTTTAGGCCCTGCTGCTACGGCCCTTCAATGCAGGCACACAGGGACTGCAACGTGCAGCGGGGCTATACGGTGACAGATTCATCCTGCCGATCTGGGGTCCTGACCTTTTTTGAGCAAGGCTTGAGCAATCAGTGCTGTGCCACGGTTGACCCCTACAAGATAACTTCTAATTCAGAGCAAGAGGCTTGCCCAGTTTATTCTGAAACGGTTTGCACTGGCACTTGTGTAAGCTGAACTTTCTCCGTCATTGTGGTTTGATTTCCTAGTTTAGTTAGAAGCTTCTGGAGCGCCTCCCAGCCCTGCCCAGCCATGCTTGAAGTTACAATAAATAATGCTCTGCCGGCAGCTAATATTGTTGCCTCGTTATCCCTCTTCCCTGTCTCTGTTTCTGACACCCCATTCCAAGAGCTGCCTCCGCCCCTCCACACGCGGCCCCACCGGCCCCCTCTGCAGGCTTTCTTTACCCTGCTGGCCATTTCCTTCTAATGGATTTTCTCCTTCCTATCAGCTCTGACCCACTTTTTAATCCATGACGGGACTTTTCATCCCACGGTTGCCAAGTTTATTTCACTCTTGGAAAGGTCTTTATCAAAAACCCTTTTGAAAGGCTGTATTTACTCTGCTCCCTACTTCTTCCTGATCAGCCTTTTTTAGAAGCTCAAAGAAGTCAACTGACTAGAGGGGCATGATTTAGCTTCACAAAAAGCTGCCTTCACTTATTATCACCGTATCCTTCCCGCTTACTTTGGATGCTGCTTGTGCTCAGCAGTTTTGTTTCTCCCTTCACTGTTTTGCTCCCTCCAGAGCAGAGGTCAGCCCCAGGGCAGTGCAGTTTTGGGACATGCCCTCACTCCAGCTCCAGACCCCACTGCTTATACGTGTCTCAGCTCACAGCTGCTCCCTTCCCCCATCTGCGGACTGGGCTGGCGTGGCCCCTGTTTTCCTAGAAGCCCCAGCTCAGCCTTTTTCTAAAAATGCAGCTGCTCCCTGGTGGGACCAGGAGCAAGGAAGCAGCAGAAAGGCTGGCAATAGGGATGAGGGATGCTGGACTCATGGCTGAGCCACCACACTTTGTGTTTCCTTGGGCAAAAGCCTCAGGTACGTCCAGGGGCTGCCAGGGCTGAGCGAGAGGTGTCCTGCACCGGCTGCAGGGACCGCAACAGGAATGTCACCGCTGCCTTCCAGAGGAGCAGAGCTGGGCGAGCATGTAATGTCTCCAAAATCCAAGGTCAAATGTATAAATTTACCATATCTAACACCTCCCTGAAATCCAAACAGACTCAATTACGTTCTCTCCCATTCTCTTAATGAATCAGTAATTATATTGAAGAACACTATTATTTGTTTGGCATGACCTATATAAACCCGACTTGTGGAGTGCATAGTTGGTGCGGTGCCAGCACTCTGTGCCCTGTGTATTATTACCTTATAAACATCACCATTGTTTGAATTTCAGATCAAAACAAACCGAGCCGTGGTGCTTGTCAGTTATTAGATATCTTATTCCCAAATGCTCACCCAGACCGTATTACAATAACAATAATTATTATTACATACTTCCTTATTATATGTTTGTGCAGAGGTAGCACATTTGCCTTTTTCCCACACATTAGCAGCTTCTCCCGACTCTTATGATTCATTCCTGCCTATTTCCCAACGTCCACGAGCACTCTGTGCACTCCCAGCTGCATTTTGTCAGGACTTGCAGCTTTTCGCAGAGTCTCCATCCCACATCGCACAGGGGTTGGGATGCTGGGCTTTGCTATGCCAAGGAATACACAGACACGTAGCAAGGCATGGACCCTGCCCCTGCAGCTTTATAAATATTTAACTCAGTCTGATGAGGCG